CTTGGCCTGTGTTGCTCCCCTAGGTCATATGTAAACAATGCACCAACCCATTACATTCCTCCCATCTCTTCAACTTTCACTCCGTAGTGCCACCCATGTTGCTCCTTCATGGCTGTGTGTAGCTCTCGCAACACGTTAGACCCTAGGAGGCCCTTCTTTATGGCTGGACGCGGAGTTACATGAAGAGATTAGTGTCCCCATTTGGTTGAGCTGCACCCCAAGGATCTCCATGTGAACCTCAGCATAGCCGGCACAGGGAATCCTGAGGCCATTGGCCCTATTAGACTCTTAACCATCTCCCGACATCTTCCCTTATGGGTACACAAGTATTCAGTTGTTGGTAGAGGGTGTCTGGCAGAACAGTCACTTCACTTCTAGTATCCAAGATGAAGGGAATCTCCTTGCCATGTACTGATATGGTGACTTCTGGACTGCTGGCCACTGCTCTGTCAAACACCTCCTGTCTAGTTATAGTTGGTGAGCCATCCTTCCCCTCTACCATTTGGCTCCTTACGATAGAGGCCTGGCGTTTGGGGACTTCTTGCCAGTCTTTGAAGATGGATTCTGGGTGGCAGGCCTGAGGGTTGTTGCATTGGTGGACGAGGTGCTTCTGCCCAGTTGCTTTAGGATGTCGATGTCTGGCCACCGCTGGTTAATTAGTCGATGGCTCTGTCTAGTCAGTCTTGGGTTACTGGGGCAAACTCATTTCATATGACCCAACCCGCCGCATGAATAGCATGTCAGGCCACTGAATTTCCACATGGCTCCCATGGGGGGTGGCTGAGGGCTTTGCAGCAAATGAGCCAACTGTTAGCAGAACTTATCTACCGCTGCCTGGGTTGCTTGAAACTGTTCCACCTGCTTTTCAAGATGCTGCTGAAGTTGTCCATAGTCTGAGCTTACACGAGCTGACATGGCCCCTGACACAGGCAGTGACGGGGTCTCCCATGCCAGAATTTTGCTACAGAGTGTGGCAACACTCACATCCTGGTGTTCCTGGACATACCACCGTACATCTCGCTGGAGCGTGCGATAAGCCAGACCAGTAGCAAACCTCTCGCACAAATATGGTGTCTTTCTTATGCAAATGGGGACAGTCCTTGGGCAATGCAAGCTCTACCTGCAGAAGGACTTTCATGAGCTGCAGTGAATGATCTTGCAGAGACTCTCCTGGGCGCTGATGTCTTCTGTAGAAGTCACTCCATTTGGTCGATGGTGTCTCATAGCAAGTGTATGTATCCTCTGTTCTTGTTCGCATTTCTGGGGGCAAAGCCTGACTTTATCTTGGGCATGTCCAGTCAGGTGATCAAGGATGAGCTGAACACTCTCTGCATCATCAGTGAGATCCTTCGTGAGTCTCCGCATATCCTCCGCCCACTCAACAACCTCAGGGTCCCTCTCGGACCCAAACTGCCTCTCCTTAAATAAACAATTCCCTGGCCACTGCTGCATTGTCCAACACTGCAGTAGAAAAGACCAATACATACTAATGAGCAAGAAACAGGAGCCTATAATCAAGCCTCCTGCCTAGTGTTTATAAATGAATGGCTGGAATGCATGGCTGTCCCACCCAGGGCAAAGAGACAACATCTCGACAATCGCCTCAGTATGTATGTGTAGTATAACTACTCAGCACTAGCACCACAATATCGATATCATAAATACAAGTTTTTTACATGTAAGTGATAAAATAAAACTAGGAGTTGAGTTTGCATATAATTATAGAGCATTAAGGTTCCTGCCTCAATAATGAACGAAAATTAGCATAGCAAACGGCACTAAGAGTAAGAGTTCTGCACACATGCATAAATGTAATACAGAATAATTGCAATGCCATGATTTCTCACGAATGAATGGAAAGAATCTCTGTACAAACATGAACTCTAACATTGCAGCTGGCAAAGCAAATCCACTATACGTTTTCAAGATTTTGAGAAAATGAAAGTTCCACCCAGCCGTGTGACCATCGTAAAATAACTTGAACCTTCACTTACACTTGCACTTGTCTGCCAAACAGCAGACTTAATCAAGCCAATAGCAACATAATCTTGAGTCTTCCAAACACGAAGAACTTACTTTTACTCTAAAAAGACTCAAGTGCCTTTATATACATTGGACAAATCCAAAAATCATGCAGAAACTGGAAGTCAATGAATCCCAAATACATGTACTTTCAAGAAACTGGAAATCTGTGAACACAATTTTCTGAGGAAATTTCACTGCAATATATAGTCCCTGGACCTCCTAGTATACACTTAAAATACAATATAAGAAGCTCTTCTTCAAACAATAAAAATGCAACTCACCCAAAGATCCTTAAAGAAACTTCCTGAGTATAGGCTGAGGACTCGGTGGTCAAACAATGGAACAAGTGGAAAATACATGTGTGCATGTACAGGTACAAGGTTAGTATCAGAATGATGATGTGGCAAGATGAGCCACATGGACCAGAAGACAGTGCCACAAGAAATGGCCCATGGCTTAATTACCTGATTGACTATTCATAAGGTTACTTCAAAGAGTCTCCCCACCAGTTGCATCGGCATGTATAGAGTCAACCTAAACTTAATGAATAAGGCATAACTACATGTATAAGGCAATACCGGGTTTCCCCGGTGAGATTACTTTTGATGCGAATATGAACTCAATTTTTTAAATACTTGTTTCATGAGCCTTCACCATTCTTGAAATTCTCAGATAACTTGAACCGACAGTTCCAGCAAGGAGTTGTGAGCTTGAAATAATGTAAACTGTGCAGCTGCACCCCCAATTTAAACACAGTGCAACCGTAGTCAGCAGATGCTAACCATAATTGGGGGAACTAACCCTTAATGCAAAACCTAACCCTAGTTCGCAATATCAAACCCTAGTTTGGAGTCACTAGCAGTTCTTGAAAGCAACAGAGAAAACTGGAAATTCAGTATTACACACATGGCCACATACAGTATCATGTAACAACACTCATGGCCATACGCCCATAACTGCCATGAGAAACAAGCATGTTTTGGGGGAAACTATGCAAGTTTTTTGGCGGTTTAAATGTTGTGGGCCAGTAAGTCCAAATTGCCTGCGCAGACCGAATCAAAATTTGTAGGCTATCCAATTCTCTGCTTTTAGAGCATTTCGTGGCACGTGAACTATGTAGTTTGTTAAAAAGGTGGATGGAATCTAGAGGCAGGAGTGTCAGCTTGTATTTTTGTAAGTATCAGACCAAACAGGGCTCTCCAAATTGCTGTATTGTACCATGGAATGAAGGCATCAATTTTCAAAATGGTGATGGGCCTCCTGACTGTTTTGAGGGGTGATTTTCTCTGGAGAGAAATATTTTCAAAAGTTTAGTTAACCCACTGAAACTTGCCATAAAAGATAAGGAAGTGCGCTTTAATTTGATATGTGTATTGAACACCTGTGAAATTTGTGAGTATTTTTCCTGATTTTTTGAAGTGGAGATATTCATCACTGTTGTCTATGGCAACATATGTACTGTTCTAGACCCATAGACTCAGAAAGCTGTAGGTGGGCACATGCCAGCAAATTTTGAAGTAGGTTTTTTAGTGCTAAAAATGGGTAGTTGAAAAAAATTCAAGAGCTTAAAAGTGACACGTTGATATTGTACAGTGTAAATTAACAGCTTAGTGCACCAGAAATCCTGAGAAATGTCCAAGACCCTTGTCAGAGTAAGGGAGAACCAAGAATTGGCTACAATATGCAGTATAATTTCAAAAGATTGGTGGAAAAAGAATCAAAATTGTCTTTATTCTTCCCTTGTAGCTCAAACGCGACAGGCCCGTAATCCACACCCCCCCCCGGAATGAGGTGATACATACATGTGGTTTATGTACGACATGGGCCTATGTGTACATATGTACAATGTACATGTATGCTGTGTGGGAGTACATTGCACAGCATTTCATCCAAGCCATGAGGGTATAACCGGCGCTAGTACCTCTTTCCCATAGTTTTCAGACCTCGTCACAAAATCTTGGTTTCTTATAGGATTACATTTGCCACATTTGTGAGAAGGCTTTTAATTTTCAATGTGATACCACAATATGATAGTTTTCAATGGCAAACTTTAGAGGAAAGTGTACAGAATAGTGGAAGTTGTTGAATCAAATAAGATTTTGTATATGTTCTCATGCTTTAAAAGATTCCAATAGGAGAAACAGCCTCTCCGAACTTCAAACACTGGCAAAAGTTTGTGTGGACAAATTACAAATTGTGGAAAACACATATAATGCCAACTTGAACATGGGTATTTATCAAATCAACTGTTCACAGCAAAGTACAAAATGACCTGCCCAGCTGTTGGGAGGTCTCTGTGGCAGATTAAATCAACTATGATTGGATCATTTCTGTCAGAGACATCAAAGGCAAATATAAATTGAGGCAAGCCCTTAACAATGTATACATGTATAATACAGTGAATACTATCATTCCCCCATCCTCGACTTGAAGTTACTACTGCCACAAAATTATTAGCATAATTTATACTACATAATTAGATCTTACCCATGTAATATTCAAAGTTAACTTATCCAATTTTGGTAAGAAATCAAAACGATGATTAAAAGAGTTGTTATACACATGTAGAACTACTAGACTGCGGTAGGATCACTGGTTTTCTTCTTGTGTAAAGAGGGATTTCACATTAGCGTCATCTGCGCGTATATGCATCGAAACCGAAGCTCTCTGTGTTGAACTTTGTCGCGCGCCCCCGGAGTCGACGCAGTACATGCAGTGTCCGGTTCGTAAGTGTGACGCCACTTCAGTTTAAACCACGCCCACTGCACATGCAGACACACGACCATCACAGGTATGTTAGTTTGCGGTAAATTGCCGTTATTTTTTCTTTTGATTTTACGTGTCGAGTCATCCTGAAAGACTCTTCCACCAAAATTTGCAGCCTGAAAAGTCTGAATTGAGCAAACCTTTATGTATTTTGTGTCTGACTCCTTACTTTCAATCGTCTGATTGTATAAAGAATTGAAGCTGACACATACAGCCTCGTTTTCAAACGCAGAAGTGCGCAGATCCACGCTAAAAGCGTCGTATTGGGATCCCTCTATTGTCTGCTCTAGCTTATGGTTCCAAGTCCAACAAACCACAAGGAAATGGCCTAAAGTATGTTTGGCTGTGGTGCACAAAAAAAAAGGCAAAACTGATAAATAAATTTCATTTTAAGAGCATGGGATTGCACAATGTTGAAAGGTCAGCATTCCATTTGGAAAAAAACACATAAAAAACCTTCAAAATTGCACAGCCAATTCCCTGGTACGTGTTTTGGCATTCAATTTCCGTGAATTGGCAGACATTTGTGAGATTCGTGCAATGCTATTCGTTACGCATGAAATCATCTGATTTTTTTTTCTCCGTGACTAGTTTATGCAATATATTTCATGAAAGCAAACATTTGGTTCACGGGTAGAGATCTCCATAAAACTAATGATTGATCAATGTTAATTTGCTAATTTGCTAATTCGTATTTTGTTTCTGTTTCAATTGTTATGAAAAGAATGAACAGCAAAGTAAAATATCTAAAAGGATAAGTAAAATTGAATGAAACATGAGAGCTAAATTATTGCTTTAAAAACGTGACAAAAAGAAAATAAGCCATTGTTTACCAGAAGCCGAAAAATCTTACATGCACATTTGCAGAGATACATGTGTGTTTCTTGTGTGTAAAAAATAATGCATTACAAATCAGTAAACTGCATCTTAAGGATTTTTCTTCCAGCGTCCATGATGAAGGTCCAAGGAGAGTTTCATTTCTTCATTTTGATTAAACATGCAATCAGTATTGGAGCAAATGTACTGTATTCTTGATGTGTACTTTGTTTGAGAAATATTAAACTATACATTCAAGTCAATATGTGGGACACACTTCTAGCACGTTTTCTATTTGTAATCTCCTTTTCCTTTCTATACGCATTTTAATTTGTATCTTAATTTACTGTATACTGCTCTTACTTTGAAGTTTTCAATTTGAAGGCTCAAACTGCGAAGACGATTTCCCTAGACGAATATGAAAGTAAAATTCGGGAGGAATTTCTCATTTCATTCACCCAGTATGAATCTGAATGACACTTATGCACTGTTCAATTGAACAAAATTGGTTCTTAACTGAATTAGGAGCAACCGGCTGAAAAAAGTACCTTTCATATAACACATAAAAAGAAATATCTGTACACAATATCCATACATCAAGCATCCGGAAATTCAGACGTACATCTGTGTACAAATAAGGTGAGCAAGAAAACCCTATCTCTTGCAAAAAATTATTTGAGAAAAACACTCTTGAAATGCTTTTTGAACACGTCAGACGATATTTGAAGATTTTCACAAAAAAGGTGACATGTTACATGTAAGTAGTAGGTTTGTGGTAGCACCATGTGAAAACTTTTTTCTTGTTTATGTATGGTTCTAAATTTAAGAACTGACAGGAACTCAACATCTTGAAAAGTATGCATGCCTGTCATCAGGGGACTGCAGTCAGGACAGCAGTCTCATACTTACAAGGTGCTACCACAAACCTACTTAAATTGACCACTTCAATAACCAATAAAGTGTTGAAACAATGTGGTAACTGTTGAAAATAGTCAACTTTTAGGACTGTTGAGCATTTTATAGTTAGTAAAAATGTTAAACATGAAAGAAAAGAGCCATGGCTGATGCTTCGCGTACCATACATGTACATGTGCTTCTTCACAAGCTGGGACACTGTCTGGTTACAACAGCAACATACGAAGAAAACCAGCTGAGTCTAAAGTTAAATATAGTACACTCAGACTAAGCTATTTTCCACCTGATACAAACTGACACATGCCTTCAGCAGCTGCTTCAGTGTCCTGTCCCCTCGCTGGAACTCCTTCCAGAATTTGATCAACTGGTAGTTCTTGTAGGTCATGCTGTGATGTCGCTTCAGGTTCCTCTTGGATGTGGGCTTCAGATTGCTACCAGTAGTGACCACCTTGGACTCATTGAACAGATGCATGATCAGCATACTTAGGGGCAACTTGCCCTTCTTCATTCTGCTGTTCAGTTGCAGCTGCCAGACCTCAAGTTCATTATTAATCCGCCAAGGCTCTAAGTAGACACTCCAAACTGTTGGAGACCACATGCAAGTTGGCCCCTCGATCCATGTGGCCTTTAGGTAGTTCAGGAGCTGATGCAATGTTGTGGTGTTAGCCTTGTTGTGGAGTTCATTGACCATCCTTGGTATGAACTCCGCTGGGAGGAAAGCCAGAGCAACCAACTTCTGGAGAAGCCGGAATACCTTCCTGGGCTCACGCACATAGCTGTCACTCCTCTGAATCTCAAATTCCTTTATCTTTTTCCTGATGGCTTGGGACCAGTGGGCGGAACTCCCTGAACATCGAACACCTGGAAAGATGTCACTGATGGCTCTCCACAGGGCTGGCTCATAGGGTACAACACACTCTTCCATGGAACATTTTCCAGGGAGACGTTCTTTGATAGAACTGAACACTGCTTTGTAGTCTTTCTTTTTCTGGCTCGACATCAGCACGAAGGCCAAGGGTATAGGTCTAGTCCCTGTGTCATCTGTTATAAAGGAATGAACTGACATCAGCTCCTTGAGAGGTGCCTTCACAACTTTGCGATTGATGTCAATATACCACCGTGTCATCTGACTCAGGAGCTGGAGCAGCTCTGGAGAGGCCAAGAGGATATGGGATTTCTCCTTACAGTTGACGACTTTCTGTAGAAAGGCAACAGGTATGGAGGCAGTGTGTATATTATCAACACCCTGGGATAGCTTATGTCGCAGTCGGTTGGCAGTGCGGGCCAGGTTATTGGGCTTTGGTAAACCAGGGCTGGGCGTGTAGTAACCCACTGTCTCCAACATGGCCTCACCAACAATGCTGCTCGTTGGGTTATCGGGTTTCTGGCAAACTTTGGCCTTGACCTGTGCCACTAAACGTGCAGCCACTTCACAGTTGGGCTTACTGGGATGGATGTGATTGAACTTCCCTCTCTTAAAATTCTCTTTGGTCTGCATGACTGAGGCCCGACACAGAAGATTTTTGTTTCGAATGCTGCATCGCCAGTAGCTGGTGAAGCAAGTCTTATTCTTGAGTGTGTATGTATACCCAGCATTATCAATCAATTTGGCCTGCCGTCTCTGAGAGGAGCCATCTATGACTGTATATTCTGCCTCTGGCAATCTCTCTTCTTGAAATTCCTCCCCTTCAGTTTCAGTGTGGTTGACCTCGCACCCCACACCAGGCCCCAGATTACCCTCCAGAGGCACTTCTACATGTTCAGCATTTTCCTGAAGGAACACTTCATACGGCATGGGATTTGCTCCAGCATTAATCCCAGATTGTGACCTCTCTGGCGAGTTGCTCGAGATGTTGTGATTTTTATCCAGATCTTCCAAATGCTGCTCTTTTGCAACACTGCCCACGTTGGCATCCTCTTCCATGTCGTCTGTATCTGTCTGGGCGACAGTGACCTGTGACCCCAAGTACACCGGCCCTGCCGTTATCTCAGGAACCTCCTGCTGAAACAAAAGGTAACAACAGGATTCATCTTTATACACGTAATTACACTGAGGCTAACCATCCCACTTGCAGCTTGAAGCTCAATTATAAAATAATGCAGCTCTGTACTGTGGTAGATGTAATGCAGGTAATGCTACCGGAGACAGTTGTCCAGTCATCCCTGTAAACGTATTTACAAGGGATCTGACCACAGAGCACAGCCGGATATTGGAAATGCAGAGATGCCAACTTGTACGATTTAGGCGTAATTTTTACGATTTGTTTAGTCTGTTTATGACTGTATGATCCAGACTAAGATTTTTAGGATTTCCAACTTGAAGGCACAAAACCTTACAGTTATGTACAAACTCTATGTAAGCTAGCACGGAGCCGGCCTCGTAATGCGCACATCAGAAATGTGTCGTTGGCATCCCGCAATTGGTGCATACAGACTGCATGAGTAGCAGCAGAAACCAGTGTCCTTAAATCGTCCGTTAGCCCCAATGAATGCTAAAATAAACGGGGGCAAATAGGCACAATTGCTCTTCAAATGCAATGTGACTGTATCCATGCATCACACATGAACATGTGCCGATATCGTACACACGTGTGTCGAACATCATGATCGTGTTAAAGGTTGACCGGAGTGGAGGACTGTCAAGGATTTGATTCTTGGATATTTGGTGAGCAACTAAACTTGTTTTGCCTAAAGGTAACAAAAGAGCACAAGTTCAAGGACGAATACACCACAAAAATGGGCCTTTGTTGCAAAGTCTTGTCGTGGAGAAGCTCACCTGTTTTGCAACGCATGTAAGTGTGACATTATTGCCCACGCTGGATCTTACGACACCGTGAAGCACATTAGTTAGGCCAAGAAAATGTAGCTCTGCTTCCAATTAAATTGGGTCGGTAGGTAAGGGTTTTTTGACAATTTTTTGTGCTGATTGAATAGGACAAAAGTTGCCAAAAATTGCCCCAAAGGTAATTACAATAAAAAATGTAATCAACAACAACACACTTGCACAATGCTAGTCAGGTAAATCCAAGTGTTTTGACGTGAAAAGAAGTTGTTGACAGGTGTTTGTTTTGAAAGAAAAGACAACAGGATTTTTTTTTTTATTTCGAATTTGCCGATGAAATTTCTCGGGTCGCGCTGAAAAATTAGGGATGGTCGAGAAACCGCAACTGAAAGTGCAATAGGATTACACTTTTTCATTTTTAAAAGTTGGCATCTCTGAAAGTGTTGTTGTTCACAGAGCAAAGAAATCTCAGAGAAACACCCTTGAACCCAGGAAAAAATCAACAAGTTTACTCAGGAATCCAACCCTGGCGTGCCTGCGCTGGACATGTGTGCTTTATGCACTAGCAACCTGTTTCCATAACTACATGTACATAGCCAACTGTTTCCCCTCATAACCAAACCTGTGTCAGTTCTGTATTTTTAAGGGCATCTTCCGTTGTAACAGTACATGCTCATCCAATGTTAACTTTGCACATTTTATGATTCATTGACCAATTTTATGTGGTGACATGTCAACATGTATGAACATAAGTTCAAGCGCATATGTGATGTGCATGAGCGTGGTACCAACACAGTGATCAGGGTGATGACATCTCCTTGAATTAGTCTATACAAGAAACAAACGCTGAAGGTACATTTGTACACAAGGCTAATATCCATGTTGACAACAAACATAATCAAATTTCCTGTGAATTTTCCAAATCCTTTAAAAGTCCATCCCCTTGCAGGAAGCAAATGAAATACATGTGTTCAAGCTGCACCCAGTAGTACACGTACATGTATGTGAAGCACAGGGAATGGCTGAGCTCTGCTTCCTGGATGTTGTAAATTTCTCAAAAACCTCTTCAGTTGGCTTTTCAAGCTGTTACATGTATTCTGAGCGGGGAGCTTACATGTAACTCCAAATCCAAATCCAAATATCCATGTACCAGAAAAAATTTGTAAGAATGAAATTTCACTCTAGAAAAATTGAAAAACTGCAGCTACACAGAAGCCTAAGCAAGTACATATATTTGACATCAGAATGGAACACAAAAAATGTCCATGATCAGATTCATTTTAAACTTTTAATCATTATTCTGCATACAGCAGAATTTATTACAGGGGTCCCTAGTTCAGGCCTCCAACATCTTGAGAAACCCATCAGGACACATTGGAGGATTTTACACAACTGCTGAAGGTTAAACTAGTTGTATGATCCCTTTGCATGCTTTTAACCCCTTGATGACAGGAATTTCTTTCCGAAAAGCGACTCCATGAATTCCAGCCTCAGTTGGCCACGAAGGCCACCTGACAAACTGCAAATTCTCAGTTTGTGGCTCTGCGTGCTCTGCACGCTTTGACTTACATGGTGAAAAGGCTCATTGTTCGGTGGCATGCGGCTCTACTCACATGTTGCCTCTTTTCAAAGTGGGGACTATTGTGAAGCTGGTGATTATGATGCAAATTCGGTCTTTTCATTTCTCGGCTACACACAAAGGCCAATCACCATATACACAAGAGCCAGGGCCTGCCTTCTTTCACCATGTTCACTCGAGCGTGGGCCGAGAATAATAGCTGAAAAGCGGGCTGAGGATCTAAATTTTTACGGCAGCTCTTGCCGCGTCCCGGCGCGAAGGGGTTAATGCAACCATTTATTCAGCAATGTACAATGTATGTGAACATACCATAGTATTTTGTTCTTGCATTGCTGCAGCATCTTCAGTCAGACAAATTTCTTCCATTTCAATGGGCGAATCCTGCTGGAAAAGAAAATGGACAGACACTCAATTACACAAGAGACCAACGCTGACAAGTTGTACTACATGTATGAAGCATCAGCACATTGCACAAGCTGATTCTGTACTCCAACTTCACATGCACAAAACAAGTGTAACAGTGAAATCCAAATAATATTTTATATCTATTTAGTCAGGAATCATGTTTTACCCCGTATATATACATACATGTATATCTTTACGAATATGTGTATGTTTAAGTTAGACCAGGTGTCTTTTAATGTTTTTATGTAAGTGCTTTTATTCACTTCTTTCTTCACATTGATGAACTGTATACAAGTACAGTGTCCTGTACATACCAACACTAGGAAATTACCTGTACCGCTACATGTACTCCCTTTATGTGTTAATTAGGTTTAAATGTAAATTTGAAAGAAATAGGCTTGGGTGTGGGGATGTGGAGGTGTAAGGTGAATGAGTTTAGAGACGCTGGTATACATGTATGTATGCTAACAGATTGAAGATGCTGAGATATTGGGGAAAACCAATGCAGCCGTCTCAAATAACTCTGTATGTGAGAACATTCACGTACTCTATACTACCGCCCCCCCTCTGTTGCCATGAATTCTCAGTGCTTCAGAGCAGTTCAGGCTCAGATTATTTTGCACTATAAACCGGTTTGCCACTACAAGCAATTTCAACTACATCTGTTTCAGGGAAATTTTGTACTTCAACCTTATCAACTTTGCTAAGAGGGAAACGGGCATGGACTCAAGTCATTTTATTACGAGTCCACATGGTTGTACCATTTTATTTAAATTTTGAAACTGAATGAACCATTTTATTGACATTTTGTTATTGAGGATAATTTTGCTTAAAAGTAATATACTGTACTGTCGAGATTTAGAACTAGAGCTTACATTGTATCTGTCTGTTGCCGACAGAATAGTTTTTGCATTCTTTTGTAAATTGGATATTTGAGCGACTAATGTACTGCACAAACCAAACCTTATGGTGTAACGATTTCATCATGTACTTATACAGGTAGATCCAAGTCTTGAACCAAATCAGACGTACTGTAGGAGCTATAGGGCTTGAAAGATTATACACCTATATCACATGACATGTCACCTGATGATATCATCATCACGTCAGGTCAATTTGCATCAATAACCTTTCCCTTTCTTGTTACATGTATATATATGCAAAATTTCACACCCATGGGACATGCACTTCCGCAGATATCACGCTTTGAAGTGTACACCTTTGATGTCACGTGACATGTCACATGGTAATGTCAGCATCACATCAGGTCAATGTTCATCTAAAACCCTCCCCTTTTAAGATATCTGCAATGTTTGAACCCAATCGGACATGTACTTCACGAGATATAGTGCTTTGAAGAGTGCACCTTTTAATGTCAGGCTATTGACAGATGCAGTGTACTGTATCTTGAAAGAGGAGGGCTATGGATGAATATTGACCTGATGTTATGATGATGTCAACATGTGACAAGTCATATGACATTACAGGTACACTCTTTAAAGCACTGTATCTTGTGACATACGTGTCCCATTGTGTACCAATGTTGTAGTTATCAAAGACCATCACAAGACCTTTCACAAGACCATTCACAAGACCAGTCAGAAGTACATGTAACAAGGTGAACAATGACAAAGGAATGGTTTTTTGTTTGAGTAAAGACTAAAGGGGTTCAAATAACTTTACAAACCACAAATGTGTTCTTGGGATGGGCCTTTTCCTTTGATGACTTCTTCTTCCCGACAAATTCAGCTGCCCCAATCTGGCCTGGATGGATGTGACTACAATTTCCCATTCTGAACTTGTTGCCCATCTGAATGAGTGTGGCTTTGCAGTAGATGCTCTTGTTGCGTGTGCTGCACTGCCACAGTGTGGAGTTTTTGTGGGTTTTCCGGACTGTGTAGGTGTAGCCAGTATGGATGTCAATCAGCTTGTGTTTCTTCCTCTGGGTGGCTGTGATCTTGAACCGCCGTCCTCCCTTATATGCACCCCCATCAGCCTGCTTAGAGGAACAGTCCTTTCCTGATCCAGTGAATTTCTGGATGTCCTGCAGTGCAGCCAGTAAGGAACTATCAACAGATGATGCTTGCATTTTGAGGTCCTACTGGTCCTTGTCTGGCATACAGGTCTTTGAGCTGTAATCCATGTGGAATTCAAGTCAGAAAATAAATGCAGGTTATCAGTCTTTCTGGTTTAAAAATTGAGAAAGAGGAGTTTTTGCTGCACAGGATATACAGTACACGTACCTTGAACTGCAACAACTGGGCTGCATTTATAAACCCACAACATACATGTAAAGTCAGGGTTAATACAGATTTGTTGGGTTTTTTTAATTTAAAAAAAAAATCAGATTTTTGTATTCACATCAAATTTTTTTGATCCACTTTAAATTGATGTTTGTGGGGGTTGTTGTCCAGAAGGCAATTGTACTGAAGTTCAAGGCATGAAACATCCCTGCTGACTGCTGAGGCTAAGTTTCTCATATATTGAACTGTTTATTTCTAATCAAACAACTACGTTTGCTAATAACTGTACCCTGAGATACACACAAAGTCTTGGTATGTTAAACTGTTTATGCAACTTTCAATGATAAGACGAGATGATTATAGAATCAGTCTTTTTGATTCTTCAGCTGGGATAAAACTCTTGTACTTGCTAACACATGTGTGGTACATGCCTTATGTAACATTTCAAGAGACTTTATAAATAAGTGCACATCTTTAGTTCATGACTTTCATGAACTTTGGCAATATTGCTATATATTTATTGAATAAGTACACATCTTAGGTGTTCCAATTTTCATGATATTAGGCAATACCCCTTTATCTACGTGTAGATGCACGAAAATGGAATGGCTACTCCATACATACATGTAGAGTCATGAAAACTGGCGAATGGTGTCCATGTATCAGCCAAATGTCGAAAACATTAATTTCAACACAAAATGGCCTGATTCTGGCTGAGTGTAAATTTGATGTTTTAAAGGCATCAGCATATTAAATTCAGCTATTTCTTCCTTTCAAATACCCAAAAGAATTAAAGATGTCTTTAACATGATATTTTAAAAGGATTGTTTCATATTTTGTAGCAATTTAAATCATGATTTAAATCAATGAATTTAATCAACTGATTTAAATCAAACAACCTTGAAGTAAATCCATAAAAAATTGCCAGGCTACAAGCCACATGGAGTAGAGACTTGCAGTTCTGTTTGTCCCCAAAACTTCCTGACTATTAGAAGACACAACTCCCTTGGACATGCAGGAGATACTGGAATGACCTTTGGCATTGAAACAAACTGCTAAGGGTACATAACAACAAGTCAACAGTGGTTTCACTTCCGTGTGACCTCAGCACCTGGATAAATTATTACCTGGATAAATTATTAATGCTATTACCCTGACTACTAACCTTGATTCTTTGTCCCTCATTTCAGTGTCCGTTGCCAGTCTTAAAAAGCCAACCTCATCCCCCCCCCAAAGCAGTCAAACAAAACTAAACAAAAAACTTGCATCGCTGCATCAATTCTGGAATTATGGTCTGACCAGAGACCAAGTATTTGGGGGGGGGCCTAAAAGCGGACGTGGCACCAGCGCCATAGCGAGAACAGTGTGGAATATTCTGAACTTTGACAACCCAAATTTGACACAATAAACTACTACTGGTTGCAAGGGAAAATTAGTGACGTCCGTATATCATGGAACTCTTACTGGGATGTGAAAACATTCAAAAATAGATAATGAGAAAATTAGGTCGATTATCAAGCTCCACACGGGTAACCATGGAGGAATAAGGGGGTTCATTAGCTTTAGCACCCTGTTCCTATTATAAGGGAATAAAGGTGATGTCCTCATTCATATCAGGAAGAAAAGAGAACAGGGCTTTTGGTTTTTGAGGGAACTGTTTGGTAAAATGGCAGCATACACAACTGCCCCGAAGGTAGCTGTGAACGACAAATAATCAAATCTACTCTGGTTCCTTGACCGGATGGAGATTTGTTTTGATGATGAATCCAAAAAGCTTGAGTCAGCCGTCAGGTAACTGGACGAAAAACAAAATGGCATGATTCAACTGACTGGTTGTCTTTTGCCCAACTCAGGTTAGAAATTTGAAGTCTTCTTGCTTAAATATTGTCAAAATTACCTAAACTAGGCCTATCGGGATTGAGTAATGGTTCCTTCAGGTCAAAATGTTAGTTTGCAAAAGTGGAACAGGGTGCTAATGTTAAGGAACCCCGGAATAAGAATGGTGATGTTACGCCCCAACTATAGCATATGTCCCAACTATAGTTAGGTCAGTCCCAACTGTAGTGCTGCAGTTGGGCTGGCCCAACTAGTGTTGACCAATGTCTGTGGGAAATGCCTAAACATTATCCAAGTCAATGTGTCTCACACTTGACACAATTCATCAAAAATGTGGCACTTGGCCCTATGACCAATGACACGACATTTGTAAACAATATGACTTTGGTACATGCTGGGCATATCATGGACACAGGACCTCTCTGCTGTAGTTGGGCCGGCCCAAATGTAGCACTCTACTTGGGACGGGCCCAACTATAGATGGGACTGATGCTATAGTTGGGGCGGAAGTGACATAGCCTACATGATGCATCATGAGTAGGCCTACATCATGACTAAAAATGGTGAAAAGCAAACTCAAATTTCCGCTCTACGCAGCCGATCCACGCCACATAACATGTGGCTTGGGTCGGCTGCGTAAAAAGAAAATTTGAGTACATGGAACTCTTACCTGAGGCCTCCTTATTTTCTGAACATCAAGTCTATTTTACATGCACTATACGTAGGCCTTCTCAGTCTGCAGTCTGTAGCAAATATTTGTATACTGCGCGCCGCTAGCGCTAGTGCCATGCAATCTTTGCAGAGAGGGCCGTTTTCTAAGCTCGACTTAGGCTCCAACTCAGGCTTCAACTGATTTTTACTTCCTGACGTTGAGGTTGTAAGCGAAATAGTAAGTCTGATAGTGCCACAAAACATCAATTAAGATGCAAAAGGCCAAAGATTACAGTACCTTTATTTAAGTTAAACGCTTCAGGCCCACAATCAGGGATTGGTTTACTACACGAAGTCTGGTACGGAGACAAATTGAGTATTGGAAAACGACCTTAGTGTGTTCCAGGTGCGGCCTGGCCGGCCGCGCGCGTCGCGTTTTGAAGAGCGCCCTCGATAGTTCACCTGTCAACATGGCACCAGTCACGCCAGGGATCGACTTGTGAAGGCTGAAAATGCATGAAAATTGAAGATAAGGTGGGTTTATTTATTTATTTATTTATTATTTCTCAAGTAGCTAACAAAGGAAACCAATAAAAATCACATATTGAGAACAAAAATATGGACATATTAGGCTATTTGTGTACTGTAGGCCTAGGCCTACCGATAATCTGAAGACTTATCGTCAGTGATCGTGGCGCGGGCCGTAGGCTAGCCGGCACTAGTGTGGCCTGGCACGGACTCCCACTCCTGAGAGTGAGAGTCCGTGGCCCGGCACATTAGTGGGGCTACATGTACCTGTAGGCCTACCATGCCTACTCAAAAAGTCAAATAGAAATAGGCCTACTAGCATGACTAGGCCTACATGTAGGTGTAAGTACCATTATTAAACCATGTTTGCCATTGGTAACAAAAATTTTACGATAACCCTTTGGCCACTTTGAAATTCTGTAGTTACGGTAATGAATCTGCGCAAGCCAATGACATGGTTTATCTAATTTATTCATTGACTGTGGCCGTATTTGGCCCTGTATGTTTCACACGGATATGGATCTTGATCGATGAGGGTATGCAAGTTTTGGCATCCATAAACCAATGACGGATCAGTGATCGTTATCTAGACTCCTGTGAAAAAACAGCCTTTGTTTCACACGGATCTGGATCCTGATCACTGATCAGGGTGATCCCTCTTTGGTGTACAGCCTGGTTTACGGACACCAACATGACCAAGGCCCGTGCCAGTTTGTTTCATGCAGATCGCGATCAGTGATCGGACCTTGGTTTACTGACCATGCTGACACCAGAGCTGTTGTCTTGGAAACATAGCGTGAACCATCTCTGGTATCACTGATCACAATCAAAATCCATGTGAAACAAACAGGCCCCAATGGTAGGGAGATTTTCAAAAAAAAATTAAATTTCACTGGATGAGGTTAAAAATGGTCATTTAATTTGATACCTCATTTGTGCAAATTTGTTCCAGGAAACTCACGATTCAGCAGGTTACATGTCACATTATTTGTTAGTTTCATTGAACTTAATTGTGACCCGTGCATGTACAACTTGACAAGTACATGTACTGTATAGGCCTATACAGGGCCAAATTTCACAAAGTTGTTTACCATAAAGCAAGTTTTTGTGCTTACTATAGCAGAAAAAATGATAATTTATTTTTGATATACAGGTACATGTAGCATCTTACATTATAAAAATTTCAAAATGCTTTACAAGAGAATTGTAAACACGCAATAAGAATCAAATATCAATTAATTAATATATACATTAGATAATACATCTGTACCTTACAAAATTAATATAACTGAAATAAGTCAATTCAACATCACAATCCCATTTATTTCCATATTCATGTAATTATCAATTTCAAATGTCTAATTAATTAATTTATGTAAAATATTAAGAATAATATCTCCTAAAAGGAAATGTCTGAAGTTGCTTCTTAAACCTCCCATAATCACCGGTGCGTCTCAAATGTACTGGGAGTTTGTTCCACATCCCTGGCGCATAGACAGGCGAACCTTAGGATAACAAAACTTTTTTCCTTTATAGTTTTTGGTGCAAATCTATTTAAAGCTGATAAATTCTGATAAATCGTTACAATCTCCACTCACATACCCAAGTATAGGTTTGTGAGATAATTAATTTGGGGCACAGAGTTCCTTGTGCACTTTGAAACAAAATCTGAAATTCCATTGTAACTTTGAAGTTGACATGTACATGTGTATACACAAGATTTAAGAAAAAGGAAAGGCAGAAATTGAAATATCTTTGGTTTGACAACCTCCAGGTTCCAAAGGTGTATGTACATCTAAAACAGAAATTCATATTAACATCAGTTTTTCATTGTTAAAACATGGTACCCCAAAAGGCTCAAAATGACCACCCAAATCCATGATTTTTACCACTAAGCATCCAAACTTTCACAGTTTTGTTATGGCTATTTGCATATCTGTCTGTATTCCGAAACAATATGTCAACAAAGCCAGTATGCAAACAGCCTGAATGCACAATCGGTAAGTAAGCATTTCATTTTTACTCTGCACCAAAAAACACAAATGCATGCTCATAAGCACTGCACATGAATATTGCCATGATATTTTTAAATCAGATTTCATTAGGACCCAATGCACACGACAGCTGCTGCTCCAGAGCTGTCAGTGCACTCATCACTGACTTAAACAAGGGAACAACTTTGTAATTCAGTTCAACTTATTCATCGAAAGACAGCTATCGAAAGGCATGCGTACGAAATCGGATGACCTTGCTCGAATGTTAGGGTAACATTCATTTTAAAATAATCAGCTATAGATGTACATTGTAACTATGGATGTAAATAAACATGTGCCATCACTGGCATTTGCATACATTGTATTTTACCATTTCATAATACATACAGTACATGTACATGTAATTTGATATTCATTCTGCCCAATTTCAAATGTTCTACAAGCACACTTGGATTCAACATGTCTTCGCCCAGGACAGCGTCAAATTTTCTCCCCGCAGAGAATGAAAAGCTAGCGCTGTAGTCTTTTTTTTTTGAGCAGCCCCAAGTTCAATTTCTGCACAGTCAAACGGTCATCAGTGAAGCACTTCTTTTTTTGTTTTTTATGTTTCCTTAATCAAGGTGGCAAATCTTGACAGTCATGCAGCCACTGGGTAAGGCTGATCTGGGCGTGTCTACATTCTATGCTGCAGCTCACCCACATGACCAGTGTGGGGCAGATGGACTTCCCCTTACCCCTAACTCCATTAAGATCCTGGGCCGTCTACAGAGGTTGAAGGCACTCAGCCATCCTAGGCTCTGCCAGTATGTGGACGTTGTCAGGGGAAAGCATGGTGAGATCAAGCTTGGTCATTACTTAACCTCAATCTCTTAGGTCTTTTGCTTACAGCCTTGCTAAATCCATCATTTTTCGCCACTCAATGTTACAAGATCTACTGGTCCACTACAGTCCTCCTGCTCAGTGGCCTCAGACTCTATGGTTACCAAGTACCATAGGATACAACAGTGACACCGTTTAAAGGACTAGCTCTGGTTGTCTCAACAGGATAGTTATTTACTGTAGCTGCAATAATCAAGCAGCAAAAAAACTACATGAGCTGCACTTTGCTAGGTCTGGAATGCAGTACATGTATGCCTGTTGCTTTTGTGCTACATGTACATGTGCATGTACCATATCTTGCTATCATGGACAAAAATTTGAACCCACGACCATCTGCTTTCTGGAGCAGTGTTTAACCACCAAGCTTGTTTGGGTCAGCTGACTAGTTTGATGGGTAAAATGGAACACCACACATGCAAACTGGCTGCTTCAGCTTTAAACTTACATGTGCATACAGTGCTCAAGGACAAACCCACCATACAGATTTATCTTCTTGAAACAAAAATTCTATCCCCACAGATCAAGTGATACAGGCGATTCACAGTTGTGCACCTCCAAGAGTTTGCAGCACATTGGCCAAACACAATGCGCAAAATCTGTCAACCCTTTCCAAATGCACATTGGGTGGACAGATTTTGCGTATCGTGAATGGCCAATGCATTGCAAACTCTTGGAGGTGCACCATTGTGAATCGCCTGTATTGTTTAGTTATACCGGTACATGTATGTGGCCTACTTGAATCATCGATGGTAACCTACAGTGTACATGTATGCATAAAATATATCCTGGACACTAGATAAATTTATCAGGATTTGAATAACTGATTGAATATGGCCATTGTCTCCAATGCCACCTTGGGCTTCACCTTAAAACAAGTTCTTTTTCCCTCATGGAAGTGGTCAGTATTCTAACCTGTGTAGTGTATAGGACTTAGTAGCAAGTTTACAGTGGCAGTAGACTATGAATCCTGGATACCCGTAGAGTACCAATGTAAATACGGTATGTTAAGTGCACAGTTGTGTGTAGAAGGCATTGGTGCGAAGACCAGTGTGTGAACCAACATGTGTACATACCTACACTCCACTTGTTTTACGCTGCACTTCCTGGTTCAAATGACATCACACTTCAGTACTATGTAATGGGTAGTCTCACTTTGAAAACACTATCCTGTAAGTTGGACTTTTTGGTTAGTACATAAGATGTAGTTTGAATTGAATCAATGTTGCCTTGATTGGAGCATGACCCTCAGTACAACAAATGGGACTTTAGTCATCATTATCATCTTTACATCTAACCTTTTTCGCATCTGTTTCTAAATTTCAGAGAGAGTTATGGTTGTCTGTGAACATTACAGAAGCAATGTGCAGTTGGAAGCAGAGAAAGGAACTTTTAAAAAGTAAGCCACTGGTCTGTAATGGAAAAAAGTTAGTTCATCACTCTCAGTAGCAGTATACAACACGGAAGCCCAAGAGAGATATTGCTACCTGTAGACAGCTTTCATGTGTTATCTTGCGGTAAAGCATCTGTTTGTCATTGCTTAAGTGCAGCATCAAACAAATGCAAGTGCATCAACTTGGAATTCCTGTAAATAAACTCCTTCAAACAAATAAGTTTGAACTAAAATTTCATGTGCCCAAAAATATAAAAAAGGCCCATTACTTGTACAACTGAGTACTATTTGGCACAGCGGTGTTGACTTTTTCTTGTAATTTATTACCAAACAATCCTTCTGTTTTAACCTCATAGTAGCTCTCCACATTGTTAAATGCTCCTATTGATAGAAACTTGCTTCAAGGTTTAATATATTTGAGCAAAGACACTTGGAAGGTTCATATTTTACAATTTGATGACACAAATCAGAATTGGGCCTCCTGGTGGTCACAAATGGGTTTCCAGTCAGTTACAGTATCGGTATATATTTTGTCATGAAAATAACTTGTACCAGTTTTCACTTGGCAGGCATGTAAATAATATGTCCCCCAAAAATTCTCCACAGCTGGTCCAATGTAATACAGCTAATCTATGAGGTTCTCGAGGGACTTGCTTACTTGAACAGCCATGGTCTCGTTCACAGGGCCTTGTCACCAGCAAATCTTCTTCTGGACACAGAGGTAAACATCATGTGTTAATAATTACATGTACTTATATATAACGGGTTTGCCCTTACCCAACGTATCTTTATTGATAATTACATGTACTATTGTGCATACACAAGGCTGGTGCTCTACACTCTACCTTAGTTAAGAGAAGAGTGAACTACACTTCACAATTTAAGTGATTATAGAGAGAAATCACGAGTAGTACTTTTGTTGGTGTTACCACAGCTTATGCGGACTGTGCATGCTGAAGGAGCACAGTGGTGAGCATGTGTGCTACATGCATGTGTACATGCATGTGGATGTCACCCCAAACCATTACTTCTTTGAACCCACTCATACAGTGTATATAGAGATATTGGATCATTTGCAGTAATCTAAAAAGTAAATGAGGAAATCATTGTTAAAAGCTTAAGTGGTTTAAAGATGGCTATGGAACTAAACTCTCTGTGAAATTATTCTTCTCGGCAAGCTGTCATTTGAAGAAAACCGTGACAGAAGGTAATTTCCAAAGATTCATCTAATGATACAATTTTTGGAAAATTACCATGAGAAGTGCTGCAAACATTGACACAACACAAGTCTATGCATAGTTACTATAATTTGCCACTTTGATGCATGGCATTACGTAGTTGCATTCAAATGAATATGAGAATGTGTTCCAGATACTGAATTCAGGTGCAGTTCAAAACCCAACGCAGCAGACTTTGATCTGAAATCAACATTCTAGAATATTATTTTTCTCAAAAGGTACAGTATTCACTGAGCTGAAACATCATCAGGTTTCTGCCTAGGCACCCTTCTGTAGATTTAGAGTGATTTTGTTGCCTGAAAAAAACTTGATGCACAAATGACAAGTAATGGACAGTACCTTTAATACTTGTGCTCTGATTCATTATAAAGATCTGGATAGTGATTACACAAGTAGAACTTGACATTCCTGTAAATATCGATATAATTTGACACAGGATGTCTCAGACGGGCAGATGGCCCATTTCTAACAGGAAGGCAATAGTAGAATCAGTTCTCCAATCTGTTTAAACTCATTTGCAATTTTCTTTAGGGTCATGCCAAACTAGCCAATCATGGGCTATATTACATGACAGAGTACGCTGCCTGTGTCTCTTTCCCTATTGGGTAAGTTCATCATAGAATGATTTAGTCTGTTTTTGTCTTAAATAATCTCTGTTATCCGATGCCTTAGTTAGCCATAAGTCTGCAAGATACTTTTACCTGTTTCCAGCTTACAATTTCATGGAAAGCTAGAGTGCATGCAGCATTGTGTTAGAAATGGGCAAAAGTTGATACTAAATACTTGTGTCAACACTTGAACACTGATCATCGTTTTACTTCCTTTCCGTCATCTTCCTGTGAAAGTTCCAAGTCGTGGTGAGAATCAGCAGATATAATGTACATACTGCCAACTCCAGATACACAAACATCTTAGCTCAGACTGGTTAAAGAAAATCACTAATTGAGCCCCCAAACGTGATAAAAAAATGATATATTAGATCCATAAATTCTCAGAATTTGAATACACTGCTACTATTACACCATTGCATCTGTAGTACAACTGAATATATTTTTGCTTAGTCTAAACCAACTCAAAGCTCAAAATATCAGAAATCAAAGGTTCAAATTGGCATTATTTTATGAAATTGGGATTCCATGCTTGGTGTCATCAGGGAAACCTAGTTCATATTTGAAAACCTCATCATGCTCAAGAACCCTCTCACTGACCAAGAAGATTTTGGCTGGTAGGCGATATCTGAGTGCCCAGCTCCCATGTGAAGGCATGTGCATTTATGTATACATCCCCAGCAAGACATCATTGCTGCATGTCTGTTAGCCAGTTAACGTCAGATTTTCTGACCTGAAATTGCAATTGCACATGATCCAACCAAACATGACGCATTAATACGTCAACTGCGGATATGAAAAAAAAACTTAAAGGAGTGCACACTTCCTCCGTGGAGGAAATAAGGAAAATTGTGTGTGTTTTCACATCATGCAGCATCAAGTGGTCAAAACACTTTCTGTTACTCACTCTCAAAGGTCTTATTTTGGGATTCTTTTTGACTTTGCACCCATTCCCCTGTTTCTCAAGTCACCCTCGATACATGGCCCCAGAGGTCTTAGCCACAGGCCCAATTCAGCAAGATGAGTTTGGCTCAACCCCAATCCCATCTGGTCCCAAAGTGGATATCTGGTCGCTAGGCATCATCATCATGGAGATCTGTCTGGGCATGGAACTCTGGTCATCCTGTACCCTGCCACAACTTATCTCTAAGGTGCTGTTGCTAGGGAAACATAGCAATGGGATCCATTCCTTGGAGACCATCTTGAGAGAGCATGGAACACAGAACAAGTTCCAGGTGAGACAAGTTACAAATTAATGAATTTCTTTCATTATGTGAAAAAAATAAGTTTCTGCTTTAACCGGAACCCTTGTAGACACCTAGCTAACGGTCTTCCAACACCACACAATAGTTTTTAAAGTAAGAAGCCTGCAAACTGTAACAAGCTCTCTCACTGTCCTAGCCTGCCAAACACCTACAAGATCAAACAGAAGCATTATTGTGTGAGACTAACCTCCAGTAGTTGTCAGAATTGATAATTGAGCTGCTTCTGTTGACTGTCTATTGCAACAAGTTTTCAAAATGTTTGTTGCACATTGAAGTAATGGGGTTTTCTTTCTCATTCTCTCTCAAACTTTACAGAGGTTGTCTTGTTACTGACTTTAATAGTGATAAAACGTTAAGAATACCTCTAAGCATCGTGTGAATGTACAACAAGTTGTACAGCTCCCAACTAACTCCAATTCATTTCCAAGAATGTGCTCTTAATGATACAGAGGCTATTTTTTCCCACTTTAAATTGTGCCAAGTAATGTATCTTTATCAAATGCAGGAGCTTCCTGACTCCTTACAGAGCTTTCTCAGGCAATGTTTAACAGTATCCCCTGATAAAAGGTGAGAAATACATGTAGCCAGATATCCTCTGTGTATGCAGGAAATAAATATGGATTCACTTCCAGGGTTTGTGTTTTTTAGCATTTTTTTAATTTCAGAATTGAATTTTTTACCCCGAAATTCCAGATTTGTAAGAGTATGAAAAACCTTAACCCACTACTGTTTATGTAACTAATGGAGTTGAAAAGTATTTGGTCAGTTGTTCGGGTTGTGCTATTGTTTTAAACTCTACAAAAACGAAGTGCAAGATTTGTATAATATCTTGTTAGCTATTTAAGGCCCGAAAAGACGCACTGTGTTACGTTGTAACATGAATTGTCATTTCAAAACCCCCTTTTTCTGCTGAGGAGTTTTGGATTCTTCATTATCAATCAATCTCACCCTAAGACTCAATTCTATTGTAAATGCTGGTCTCCAAAACTGACATCCCTAGCTACATGTACAGCTACCGGTGTGTTTGTTATCAGGATGTGCCCGCATGTTTACAACTGGCAAAGACTTAGACCTGTGTTGCTCTGAATGAAAGATTTGTGAAATCATAAAGTTACCGTGTTTAATCTGTTGATACCCAATAGTACCCCATCTGCTGTCTATAGTAAAAAAAAAATTGTATCTTTAACTAAAATTGGAGGAAACCTTCAGCAACTGCAAAATTTGCAACCATTGTGTGGAGATTTTGGGTCCTTTTGCAGACCAAGTCCATCTGAACTTCTTGTCAGCGATATGTTCAAAGAGTATGATGCTTGTAAGCTGTACCCCAAGAGCAGTATGACCATGTTCCAGTACCCAGGCCTTAGGAGTGAGGATCTACAACTTGACAAGTACATAGAGACTGTCAGAGAAGGTAACACTTCATTCCACCCTCAACCCTGCTGTGAATGTAAAGTACATTTATGTGACTTCTCAACAGGCTGTGTGGTATAGACAGAATGGCTATGATTGTATGGCGTATTGGCTTCATGCACACATTGGTGCACAAGGACTTGCTGCAAGTTGCAAGTGAAAAGAGAGGCTTAGTGGTACATGTACTTGCTATACCTAATGGAGACACACATTTACATGTATACATTGCATACCTTGTGTGGGCATTCCTTATTATTTTTCTGTGGAGCAAAATTTGTACACAAAATGTGAACATTCTCCCAAAATAAATTTAGGATCATGGTTTCCCTGAACAATCCTTTTCAGCTTGGAGCAGATAGTCCTAACCCCAGAGTCCTTTTCGTTTGTTAAGCAGGAGAGGAGGGAATGTTGTATTGGCCTGGACAAGTTCACCCAGTGTCTTCCTTACTCTCACTCTACCTACATGTATATCTTTTGTCTGTGTGTTCTCAGAACGACATACCTATTCATTACAAGCTTAAACAAATTCAAGTTGTGTGTACTTGGTGCCAATGTGTCTGAAACCATGAGTAGCCAAGCACCTTTTCTCATTTACAAAGTTTACTGGGACTGACAGTTTATCCCTATGTCATTTTTTTACTTAGCTGCTCTGCTTTCATTTGAAAATTTCAATCTGAAAATCCAGGGATGTGCCTGTGGGATTGCAATATTTTGAAAGATACGTATAGATGAATGGCATCCAATATTCCCTGTTGTTGGTATGTATTCCTTTGATACTCATAGGCAGAATTTTTTAGTCATCTCATGTTCCTCAATAGTCAGAAGATGTTACTATTTATGTCAGGTATTTGGCCTTCACTGACATCTAAAGATAATGTATACATGTAATCCAGGTTTGTGAACACAATTCACCAGCTCACATGGATGGTACTTGAAGCCATTGCCTCCTGTTTACAAGTAGGGTATAATGTCTTACCACTTGACCACAGAGTTTGTAGTGGGTTGACTGGCTGGTTAAACATACATGTATGCTGATGAAAGGCAAAATATTCAATATAAAAAATAAATATGTTACTTGCTTTGAGACAGGATGACAAGCCCATCACCTGCAATCGGACTCTTGAGGACTTGGCCACCTCATCAAGCATTCATTTTCCACATAAACTGGATACTACAATGAAGAAGTACATAACTGTGCTTAGAGTTTGGCTTATAACTTTCCTGTCTGTGCTTGGGTGTCAAACCCCTCTATAGAATCCACTGAGGATCACCTTGAATTGAGGTCCCTAGCTGAGGTGTACTACCTGTGGGGTCTAGCAGGGGGTGACCTAGAAGCTGAACTCAGAAAGAAAGGCTTACTTCGAAGCAGCCCACCCATTTGTAACTTAGCAGAGTGAGCAAAATTTGTTCAAAGACTACTCAAGGATATTGTTATGTACATGTATTAATCCTAAAAAGATATGGGTATATATGGGACTCTTCTAAGATCTGGGCTGTCCAAGGCCTGATCTGTTTTAAATCTTGGCCTGCACGTACAGACATCCGTTATGGGTGCATATGTGAAGTTTCAATTTAATCTGTCATTAGGTTTAATTGTTAAGGCTGTTTCTTACTTGGTTTGAAAGCTTACACAAACAAGATTTTTGTATCATCAGATCAGATATTTGTGTTGGAAATTCTCAGAAGTTGAATGAAATTCAGTTTAAGCAAACTCTCCTGCACACATTGCATGATGTCAAATTAGCTTTGCTTTTGAATTCTTCTGGAGTATCAAGTACCCTTTATGGTAATTTATGGTTCATGGCTTCATGCATGTCAACCTATACGCATTGAGCTCATCAGTGGGTTAAGTTTCCATTTTGGCTAACCCTGCCTCGGATAAGTAAATAGTATGGCCAATTTTTATGTAATTGGTGTCAAAATGATTGTAAAAACATTACTTGAAAAACTTCTGGAGGCTGGCTGTGGGAAAATTGCCTTGTGATGATATTGGCAAAACGTTGGGGCAGATTCCATCCCCCCAGCTCTTTTAATGTTCACAAAAGCTAAAGGTCATCACCAAGTACAACTGCCCCTTAATAAAGTTAAACTCTTCCCCCTTAGTTTGTTGACTGAGTGCGGTGATGTTATTGGTCTGGAAAGAGACAGTAGCTCTCTCTATGACGATACAGTGGTCACACTGTCCATGACGCAGCTCAAGACACGAATGGAAAACATTGATGACACAGCCTTCTACCCTCTACTAGAAGATGAGTGAGTTCCTTCTCAATATGTGAAGGAGTTATGAGTAACCTTTCCTTGAGAGTTTTACCATGAAGGTTCCTAATCTCCCTAAAGCCCCACATTGTCAAGTAAACAGATGGCATGTTCTTCCTTTAAAATCCCAACCAGTACATGGAACCTCTTGTAATAATGAGCAGGTTGTCGTGTTCCAAGTCCTTCAGAACACTCTTAAGACAGATATTGGAGTTCGGATGATTTCAACAGCATCATGTTACTGAGGTTGGGCAAATGGATTTTAGCAAATGTTCCTCTGATATTTTTTTGTTTGTGTCTTTAGAGGCCATTCAAAATTCTCAATGAATTTGAATTGAGATTTTTTTTTCGAAATGATGGGTGGGTGGATCAAGGTAAATAATTGACAATAAAAATTCACTTTTCATAATAAAAAAGAAAAAGAAATCAACATTTTGACTAGCATGAACTGTACACCACACCAGCATTCCGTAAGTGCAGTCTTTTAAAACAATTTTGAACAAAATCGAAATTTTAAAACATCAAAAATTTTGAATGGCCCCCTTGTATTCTTTTTGTGTCAATGGCACATGGTACCAATATGTACATGTATGATGCCTTAATGAGCTACCCTAAAGACATCTCAGCAATGGTCCGATTGAAACTTTCCTTGCTCTTACAAGGGAATTTAGTTTAAATTTTTCGTTTAGACCACAGTTCTACAGCTCTTTAGGTGTTGACATCTATTCGCATGTATCACGTAGTTGTCGTGTTTATTTGAGTATTTGCTATGCCTGATGCCACTGTTTGATGGCTGGATTCATTTACTTCCAATTTACTGATTAATTAAGGCTCAAGGAAACCACCTTTTTTGCCATCTCAGGAAGAACCCAGTGAACCTACCGACATCTCCAAGCACCAACGGATTGTCAGAGACAGCTACTCTCCCACTCATCATTAGAGAGAAAGACATAGAATACCAAGTAGGTGGACAGCTCACTGTAGTGCCCTGTGCCTGGTTCTGCTACCTGCAAATAAATACATAATTTCTTCTTGTTAAAGGCAAGCGTCATATCCTCGTATGCACAAGTACATGTATCCCTCAGCTTTGACAAAGGGAGGCAGTAAGCGTGTTGCCTGTGAGAGATGGTCGCTCGGTAAAAAAAAAACAGCTGCTTGGAAAAAGCTGCCTTTCTTGATTATGAAGCCCACACAGTGCACTTAAGAACAAGTGTGGGGTCGTTTTATAAATTTTGGGTCCAAAAGTGTGACTTTTTGGTGTCTGTGTCATACCCGCCCTGTGGAAGTTGACATGGAAATATCATTGAAATTGACCGTAAACTGCACTTATCTGATTGGCATGGATATTGCGTTAAAAATTAAAAACTGTTCCAAACTTGCAAAGTTCTTTTGTCAGATATGACAGAAACACAAAAAAATGGAACCCTAATTTATAGAATGACCCAGGGGGTATTTACACGTTGCTTGTGTCTTTGGTTTTGGAAGATAAGAAACCTGCACTTCAAGCCCAATCTATATAAGCTTGTGACTTTTTTTCCTCATTGGCTCCAGGACAACATCAAATATATAGTGCTTGTTAAGTTGTGACAAATAATAAACATTTGTGTCAGACTGTTGGCAACAATGTAAAGCCTACACATTAAAAATGAAAGGAAGGACCTCTTAGGCAGACATAACATTTATAATCAGGTATCAATTATACGCAGGTGTTGCACTGACATTTTGATTAAAGTCCAAAATTTGTTTGAAGCTTGTACAAAATGATGCATATACTGGTGAAGAGACCCGTGCCAGTTGAATCCTCTATTGGTGAAAGCTAAAATGTACTGACCTTAATGTCAAGCCGTAAATTCACAATGAAATGTGTGCTACCGCTAGTGGAGATTGTCTGTCACAACTTCCGCTCACGCAGGAATGGCTGTAATGAGTCCCACCGACACAGGTATAAATATTGATGTTTCATTAGCAGCCAATCACAACACAATGACCAGATGGACCCCAGATGCTGTTTATACACAAGGCTTGCGCTTTGAGCTGGCCGGTCACACAGCAGATATGTATCACTGTATGTACGTACATGTACATTGTACATGTACAGGAGATTCAGTCATGTGCATTACAGAGTTCCAGGGGACTGTTGGTCCTGGCCGCGTGTGCGAGCCCGCCACGCTGGCACTCGGTACGGTGACATCGTAAATAAAATTTTACTTAAATGTACATGTACGTTGTGATTCCATGACAAGGGTGATTTGAAGTAAGAAAAGGTTCATGTATTTTTCATGGCAAGAATAGATATAAACGGGCGTTAGTGCTTGCGCCCTTCTTTATACTTTTGGGGCACATTTATGAGAGAAACGGGCGCTTTTTAGCTACATGTACCTGCGGCCACTAATTTTGAGCCCTTGGACATGTAAACACGTCTTGTGTTTTGTTGTGAAATAATCCCAATTGAAATAGGATAACGCTTGAAAAAAGACACCACACCGAATTCAGTTCTTCCTACTGCAAACCTAATGAATTATACAGCATAGTGGCTTTGCTTGTATCATGTCAATGTCTGACTCTCCCATGTAGTTTCATCGTGTCGTCTTGTATGACCGGCTGCTACGTGGCTACCCATACACTATCGGTCGTATTTTCCGCGAGTCACGGATTGACACACCACCATTATACAGGGCTGAGGTGTGGGCAGCATTGCTAGCCATAGAGGTAAGTTACTGTACATCTCATGTCTTCTTTATTGCAAGAAATCCTCCCTATCCAACAGTATGTGTTGTGCTCAGCATTGGCATTCATTATTATCTATTACTATTTATTTATTAATTGTTATACATAGATTAATTTTCAATGCCTGCAGGACCACACCGAATTTCCATGTGTGTTTATACAGATGGCAGTGAATATTCTCAATCTTAATTTGTGTTTCATTTAACTTTTCTTCTTTTTCTAAAGGTATTTTGGCACCACTTTGGTATTTATGTTAATGCAAATTTCCAAATTCATGAGCTAGATTATTAAGTCATCCGAAGGAGAAATCCTCTGGAATTTTTAACATTTTGCTGGCGTAAATTTCTTTTTCTTGATGATTTTGATTTTGGTGATTTGTGGAAGTGTACAGGTAAGTATGTAGCAATAAGCCAACAATCAACTCTTTCTCAGAAATATTTGAATGAGCAAATCGTGGGTCACAATCTGAACAGAAGAAGCACTTCAATAGAACAGTGTATTCCCTGAATGGCAATAGTACCCACAGTAGTTCAGAGATAAGGATCGACATTATTATTAAATGTTTAAAAAGGTGCACTTCTGAATACAGTTAACCCCTCATGGATGTCAAAAGTTCTCATACATTGAAGAAGATTTTGAAGATGTACAAAAATATTGTCCAAGAAAAATTTGTTGTATGAACCCTGTAAGGATTACTTCAAAGGGAATGAGAAGTTAGTGCTTACATAAAGTGTGATAAATGTACACGTACATCACTTTAATCAGTGGAAAATTGCAAAGTATATGTCCTTTGTTTTCAATATTGCATATTGCTGAAAACTTGCAGTCCAACTCATTTTTGATGAAGCCTACCTTATATTATTGGATATAAATGGAAATCATTGTTTAAACCATCCAGGGAGATTTCCAAGCTGTGTATGACAGCATCGACAAGGAAACACCCACAACCACAGACCGACAAATAGAGGTAGACATCCCACGCTGTCACCAATACAGTGAACTCCTCTCATCCCCTGAGGCGCACCGCAAATTCAAGAGGATTCTCAAGGCCTGGGTGGTGTCACACCCTCACCTGACTTACTGGCAAGGTGGGTGAGGTTTTTAATCCTGAGACTGGCTTGTCTTGGTACTTGGCACTTCTAGAGGATATTGTTGGCTTGGCAAGAATGTCACTAGCTGAAGCAGATCTTTCATTGTATGGATTCTATCACATATACATGTACTCTCTGAAAAGTAGCAAGGATATAACAAGCACTTGAACGTCATTGCTGTCGTGTGCGTTGGAAACCACACAAAAACAATGGGTTGTGCACATTTAGATCAAAATTGTTGTCATGTACACTCTATATTGTTACTAGTGAGAACCAATGTTTTCCCTCACAGAAAGGTGAGTGACATTGCTGCCGTGTGCTGGAACCCATACAAAACCACTACAAGTTAGCGCACATTCAGATGAAAATTAGTTATGCATGCTGTGCATAATACATGCAGGGCTAGCCTAACACAGACACTTAAGAACCATATTTGCTGTGTGCCCCAAATTCACAAAAAACATTGAGTTTTCCTTATCAATGAAAATCAGTTGTGAAGGTTTTTACAGATCTATACATTCAGTAATCAGTATCTCCCCAAGAGGTTTTTTTACAAATTGTTACACATTGCCAACTGCTGTCCCAGTTTTAACACAACCGTACCAAAATGAAAGGAAAACAACAGATTCATCCGTCCTTTTTTCTCTCTTTTTTGTGTCACAGGTCTGGACTCGCTCTCTGCCCCATTCTTATTCCTTAATTTTAACAATGAAGGTAAGTGTTTGGTTCGTTGTTTTATACGTACTTCTTAACATGTTCTTTTGAAAAAGAGTAATTTGTTTCACATTTAGATTTTGGGGATGGTGAAGGATTAGATCAGTCTTTGACTAGTTGGGCTTTAAACTCCAGAATAGATACATTTTGTCTATTTTATATTTGAATTACAGCTCTGGCCTATGCTTGCCTGTCCGCTTTCATCCCAAAGTACCTGTATAAATTCTTCATGAAAGACAACTCAGCCGTCATACAAGGTTAGTTTCAAAACTACCCTTAAAAAGATTCATTATGATAGTACATGTGTATCACAGATTGCATGACAATCCAGTAAACACAAATGTCAACGCTGCCCAGAATATGTGACCCGGTACATCGTAATCAGGAATAAGTTGCTGAGGCCATTTTACGTAATGGCCGAGTAAAGTGGGGATGTGGGTAAAAGTTGAAAAAAATCAATGTGGCAGTTTCTGTATATTTTAGAAGTGTATGAATGAAAGGTTACCATCAACACACTTGTGATATGTACCATTTGTGACTTATTCCTGATTTGGATGTGCTGGGTCACGTTTCCTGAATTACCGGAACTCATTGGTGAATTGGTTGGGAAGGTAGAATAAATATCCGGATTTCTTTTGTATAAACTCTATTGCATAAAGTCTACCTCCAGTGTAAAAAGGAATAAAACAAAAGTTGGAGAACACTTGACCTGCATACTGCCATGTGCCAACACTCACTTGTGTACCATTCTTATGGAGATGTTATGTGGTTTGTGTACATACAGTAAAAATATGCAGTGGACATAACCTGAGCACTCCGCACAAGTTGCCTGCCTGAACAAATGTGCACATGCAATTGTCCTTCACTAATATTGTGTGTATGGTGGTATCATTAAATGCCATCTTTCATACAAATTCTTCACCTCCAGAATGTCGGCAGTGTTATTCTTTTCTAATGATTCATTCAAGATGATAATATAGTCCAGTAAAGAAGAACTAACAAGTAACCCATGAGTTAGTTTACTACTGCCAGCATCACTGCAATAAGGGATCTAGTCATGATAAACAAACACCCACTGCATGATAATAATATACAAGGGTGATATTGACTACTTTGAGTGGTGTTGTAAAACTAGCCTCCTGAAGTGATCCATGGAAAATTCTGTTCCTCTGAGGTGATGCTGAGGGAAAATGAAATGGTCCATGGATCAACAAGGGAGGCTAGAATATGTACATTGGTACCACTCCAAAATGTTGCTTGAGATATTACAGCAAACTAAATGTGTATCTGGAATGGCAACCCAGGATCCTAGTATTGAACACGATAAGTCAGACACCATGAACGAAATGATTACCACACTCGTAAATTTCAGTTAGCTCTGCTGAATTCAGGTTCAGTGCTTGATTTTTGCTGCCACAATATCCCACGGAATAAGGTTTAAGGATTGAATAAGGACTGAGAAACCATGGACTGAGCCGGAAATGGAACCTGGGCCACAAAAGTGAAAGGCAAGGAAAGAACTACCTTACCTATCTGACTCCCCATTAGGCATTAGTACATAATGCCAGTGGTCATGCACACAGTCCTTTGGTTGCTACAGGTACATGTATGTAGTTCTTTTGGCAGTGCACAAGAAGATAGCTAAAATAGTGAATGCCATGTGACTAACTGATTAACTCTTGACCAGTCAAGATACAGAATCTGTAGATGAGGTGTTATAATAATCTCTGGCCATATTGGGAAAGTGTTGTTCCAGTCAAGCTAGTTTACTGATGATGAAGACACCCCATGTGTGTGTTTGACAATGGTTTTTACACTGTTTTTCTTTTTCTCAGAGTACCTTGCAGTGTTCTCCCATTTGATAGCCTTCCATGACCCTGAGTTGAGTAACCACATGAACAGTATTGGGTTTATACCAGAGCTATATGCCATTCCATGGTTCCTGACGATGTTCTCACGTAAGTACCGATGATGATGGGTGTTGCTGAACGACTTTAATCTGTCATTCTGTGAAGCCTGTAGCCATTAGTTGACCACAAATACTCAAACCATTTCACTGTGAAAATCCATTTAGTTAAAATATCTTTGTGCACAAGAACTGCAGTCAGTTTTACGGCTTTTAGCTCCTCGGTTAAATGATATGTACATGTCCCCTGCATATTTTTTCAAGATCACTGTAGAAACTGTGACGACAGGTTTCAGAAGCATTATAAACATTTTTCAACATCAGTAGATCCTGATATTTTGAATGTGTTCCCATATCTTCTTAAGTATGTCTGGAAATCATCAGGGCAAAAAAGTGACTTTGCCGGTATTATATAATACACAATAGTAAAACGCTGCAAAGCACAAATGCAGCTTTTCCCTTAATATTTTATAAATAGTGAGGAGACTTGAGCATTCTACTGTGCACTTGCAGATACAGTTTTTAAAATTAATCATTTGTCCAATTACATGTACTTTCAATAGGAAATAAGGAAATGCACTTTTGGAAGAATAGTGTGAAATCTGCCCGTCTTTGAAATCAATGTTACTTAGTTTGTGTATACCGATAGCCCTAACAGTCCCAAATCCCCTGAGTTTAAGATGATTTTACATACAACCTAGATGGTCATGGTTGTTTCAATGCGTACGTCGTACTGCAGCGGATCCTCATTTGCGCAATCAAACACCTTATGAGAAAAGTGAACTGCGCCCTCACTTGATGAAATTCAACATTCATGTATTACCTGACTGATAATTTCTGCACGTTCGACAGGGATGAGGCATAATGCTGATAGTTTATTAGTTATACAAGCTTAAGGTATTCGGAGTCAATTGTATTAAGCATTCGCATATTTGAAAAAACTATTCTTTAAATCATTCATTGCTCCTTTTTCTTTTCAGTAGGCAAGGGATCATTGTGTTTGTATCTGAGATCTCAATCAGGGTCATCTTATTCCAAAGATATTGAAGACATGTTGAATTTTTGTCTCACAAACTGAACTGAAAATCTATTAAAGTTTCTGCCGTCTCTTGTCAAATACATTTGTATTTAGTGTATTATCAAGAGAGTGTGACGGGCCCTCACTTGATGAAATTCAACATAGTGTATATAATTGTGCCAAAGGAAATGTTGTTGATGAAAACTGACCTCATATTTGATAATGACATTTTACCTTTTGTTGATTCCCTTTAAACCTGGCACATTGCTGGACTACCACCTGAAGATGTATGCCGAATAAAAACGTCATCGTGACGTTACCTCCCAATTTTTTATAGAATTTTGAATATATATTTTCCCCATATGTTTTGCACATGTTTTTGAAAGCCGTTTTTGCCACTTGGCAATCTTACTTTCCATTAAAGTTGAACAAAGCAAAGCCTGGGACACCAAAAATGTACTGAATGACGTCATTATGACATCATCAACCAATTTATTATATTATATTATTAATAGATTTATATGTGTACATTTGTATGCGTTAGCTTTATTACAGGGCCTACATTTGTATGTACATGCATATTTCTGAACTCTGGAGTATGCTTTGTTAAGTTCAATATTTAGGGACAGGATTAGCACTGAATAATGTAATTACTAATTAGAAAGAGGATTTAGTGGAAACAGTCAGATGAGGGCTGCATGTACACAGTTAAATATGGTTGGAGTATGTTGGAATATCTTTAACCAAGAAATGTATATTTTATAGAATGGATTTTCACAGTGTTTCTGGTGTTGATCAGGCCACTTGACTTTCATACTAAGCATGTGTCAAAATCAAGTCTATTTTTGGCATGTTTGTACAGTAGCAACCCAGCTGCAACATACATGTATAGAAATATTCAGCTATTTTCAAATATATTATTATTGTACTTGTATTTTTGCCTATTTGTAAATCCTCTACACTGTTGAGAAATCTTGTGACCTGACTTCTGTTTTATCTTATTTTAAAAATGTAGAGTTAAGATTTTGCACTTTATAAGGCTATCAGATCCTCCTGTTGGTAGAAAACAGGGAAGATGAAATACAAAAGAAACAGTATTTCTTACTCTATGTGGTGTGACAATTGCTTAATTACACCATCGTGTCTGCAAAACATATTGTTTAGACATCATTTCAAGTGCAGAACAGCTTTTTGTCTTCAAGTGTACATCTAAATTATTGCAAGTTGTAAAATATCCACAAGACATCTGTGATTGCTTGCTCTGATTCCATCAATTTTTCAGATGTCTTCCCTCTGCACAAGATCTTTCATCTGTGGGATACCCTGTTGCTAGGCAACTCATCCTTTCCACTGTGCATTGGTGTTTCCATCCTACAGCAGCTGAGAGCTAGCCTGTTAAGCTTTGGCTTTAATGAGTGCATTTTGTTGTTCTCTGACATGCCCGGTAGGTAGTCCAGAATTTGTAATAAACCTTTTATTCCACCTTTCCAGATCATTCAAAATCCATGAGATTTAAAGGAATTTAATATTTGCAGGTTTTCAAAAGGTACATTTGGGCCAGTGTTTCATACTGAAAGTTACAGGTATTTCAAAGATCAGTGAAACTCTAATTTTAAACATTTGGGGATTTAACCACTTCCTGCCCGGGACTCCGGGATCGGAGATGTATGGTTTATATGGGTGGCCGGGGTCTCCAAACTCGGACAAAAGAAACAGGGCCCTGTAACAAAAGACTGTACTCCAAACAAAGACCAGGATGCTGGGCATTACCAACATTTTTCACTCTCAAAAGTGGTGATAATCCAGCCTTGTTGTCAAACCCTATACCAGGGTTTGGGGCATTGAGAGCGAGCAGATTACCACCGGGGACAAACGCGCTCCACCACTGCAGCGATGAGCCACACAGCACCGCTGCCCGCTAATCTGGCCCCTATTGAAAAGAGGTCA